ACTACTCCTACTGGTCTTCTGCTCCACAGGTAGGCAATACAGTGGTTACACTCCTTGTGTGGAACATGTGATTTTAACGTCACCCTTACAGAGGTCGGCGCAACAGGAATGACTTGAATATCTCATCTTGAATGAATCACTATTAGGGTTTATCGAAACTGGTCATTTAAACTAATTGGTGTAGGTGTAATAAGAAGTTTCGACGTTAAAAGATAACAATAAAGCAAATATATCTCCCCAGCCTTCAGCACGTGTCCCGAAGCAGACCAGATCCACTGTTTCACCAACTCCCGCTGCACGAGGATCAGATACATTTGCGACGGCGACAACGACTGCGGCGATAATTCCGACGAAGAGAACGAACTTTGCCGAGTGAGTATCGGGAATCTGATATGATTTCACATCGTTATTGCAAGTGTTAGGTTGGCTACATAATAATTGAATACATTCCGATTTGATTTCCCGAAGGAAGCGAAAGATAATGTCCACCTATGACGACATATAATATTTTAAAAATTAGACATTTCTTCCTACCATATTTGTCTACCTACCATACCATCTACGACCCGACCAGCCACCAATCATCTGGTCTTTCCGTCTCTTCCCCGCCACAGTACTGGAGGAACAATGACTGCGAGCGGAACAACGCCATGTGCCACCGCAACGGGCGCTCCGACTGCATCACCATCTCTCACTACTGCGGGATCACCAACCCGCCCTGCAATGGGACCGTCGACCTCCGTATCTGCCAGGTACGTCTGCTCCCGTGCTTAATGGATACACTCTTACTTTGGTCACCTGGCTTGTGCACACTGACGGGCTATGCTGTCTTGTGACATTGCCTGGTTTTTATTGTCTGGCCGTACTGCCTTGTCATATTGTCTTGCTACATTGTTTTGATACTGTCTTTTTAATGTCTGGTTATACCGCCTTTGTCAAATTTTCTTTTTACGCGGCCTCGTCACGTTATCAGATCAGATTGTTTAGTCACACTGGCCGGCGTAGTGTATGGTCGCATAGCTTAGTTATACTGTTCTTGACTCTTTTCTCTTTATAAAGGTCTGGTCTATGCCTACCTACCTACCTACGTATATTTATCTACATATGCAAATGTGTGTATGTGTGTGTGTGTGTGTGTGTATGTGTGTGTGTGTATATGTGTGTGCGTGTGTGTATGTGTGTGTGACATAGGCCTCTCTCAATTCACTATTAAGAGGTTATTTGGCAGTACCACCCTTGCCTGATTAGATGCCCTTCCCAATCAACCGCGGTTCGGCGCGCAAACACTTTTGCCACGGAGGCGATTTCCCCCACGACACCTGCGTTTGACTTCTCAAGGCGATATGTCGTTTTCTCGCCTTGAGATCGGGCTCGAGCCAGCAGTCGGAGCGCAGACAATTTTTACATATACATATATATGTGTATATATACATATATATGTATATATATATATATGTGTGTGTGTGTATGTATAAATACATGCCTACATTATAATATATGTAGGCATATATTATATATGTCTGTGTTTGTTTTTCAGTTTTTTATCGTGTCTGTGTGTACATAAACACACACACACACATACATATACACATATATGTGAGCACCAGCACAGCTAAGTGATCAGCAAAATACCTGTCTTCCCTTCTAGATGCTGCGAGACGAGAAACTGATGCCGCTCTCCGCCGTCTCTATGAGTACCACGCCCATCTCGACCACAGGTACGTAGTCACTCATGCGCGCTACAGGTTAGACCGATAGAAGTTAGGTGTGCCATAGCTAGACAGAAGTTAGAGCTGCCTTGGTCCGATAGATGTTAGAGCTTCTTTTGCCAGATAGAAGTTAGATCTGTCTTGGCCAGATAGATGTCAGAGCTTCCTGGGCTATATAGGTATTAGAACAACTTTGGCCAGATAGAAGTTAGAGCTGCCTTGGCCCGATAGGTGTTAGAGCTACCTTTGCCAGATAGAAGGTAGACCTGACCAGATAGAAGTCAAAGTTGCCTTGGCCCGATAGATGTTAGAGCTGCCTTTGCCAGATAGAAGATAGACCTGACCAGATAGAAGTCAAAGTTGCCTTGGCCCGATAGATGTTAGAGCTGCCTTTGCCAGATAGAAGTTAGACCTGACCAGATAGAAGTTAAAGTTGCCTTGGCCCGATAGATGTTAGAGCTGCCTTTGCCAGATAGAAGTTAGACCTGACCAGATAGAAGTCAAAGTTGCCTTGGCCCGATAGATGTTAGAGCTGCCTTTGCCAGATAGAAGTTAGACCTGACCAGATAGAAATCAAAGTTGCCTTGGCCCGATAGATGTCAGAGATTCCTTGGCCAGGTAGGTGTTAGAACAACTTTGGCTGCCTTGGCCAGATAGAAATTGGAGCTGCCTCGGTCAGATAGATGTTAGACCTGACCAGATAGAAGTTAAAGCTACCTCGGCCTGATAGGTGTTAGAGCTGCCTTGACCCAATTAGATGTCAGAACTGGCTTGGTCAGATAGATGTTAAAACCACTTTGACCAGATAGAAATTAGAGCTGCCTTCGTGTTAGAACTACGTATGCAAGACAGATATTAGGGTTGTCACGGCCAGAGTGAAGATAGAGCAATCTTGGCTGCCTTGGTCGCATAGATATCAAAACTGGCCTGGGAGCTGCGTCTTGGACTCAGGTGGTAAAATACAGATTCTGTGAGTCCGAGGATTATATCGAATCTTTGGGCGAGTGAGTCCCTATGGATTTGACGCTTGCAAGCCTAAGCGAAAAGAATATTGTCGATTCATACTGTTTTTAAAAATTGAATTCTCCATCAATATTTGTGTTTTACTTTTAATGCATTTGGGAATTACTGGTAGGTAATATCCAAAGTGATGTCTCATTCTTGTTGGGCCTTTCTATATTAGATGTATTTTTGTAAGCGCAGCTTGGAAACTGTACCTGAAAGAGACCCGAGCTTCTGGTTTCGATCTCGCTCCTTCTTCTTCATTCTCCATCTTCACTCGTTCTCTCCTCGTCCTTTTTCTTCGTTCGTTATTCCCCGCCCTCCTTCCTCAGTCGCTCTCTGTTTTCATCGTCTTTCATCTCTCACTTTTCCTTTATCTCTTTCTTTCGTATCGTTTCATTTCTTTTGCTTCGCGTCTCTTTTCTTTTTACTTTTTTGTGCCTCCGCTTTCATCTAAAACTTCCTCCTTTCTTGGTTTACTTAGATGACATTGCCATACCGTACACATACTCTCACTCTACATTCTCCCTGGCTTTCTCTCTTGGGCTTTCCTTTTTTTTCCCTCTTCTCCTTTCTCCTTTTTTTCATTCTTCCTCTTCCTCTTCCTTCTCCTCCTACCTCCCTATCTTCCCACTCTGAGATGACAGGGCAGAGCTCGGTGTGTCCACAGTTGAAAAGCATGTGGAGAGCGCCTCGTCCCGGGCTCGCTCTAAGCGAGAGTGGGTGTTTGCAGAGGCAATGCCGACGGAACCGACCGCGCAGGTGGAGGAGGAGGACGTCGTCAAGGAGATCGATGCCAAACTTAACTACACTCTCCGCCATGCTGACTGTCCGCAACTCTTCACGCGCGTCGGCGAGCAGTGCGTCTCCATCTTCTACATCGGGAACGTTAGTCACGTCTTCACAATTGTGTCGTTCTTGTAACAATTACGTCTCTGATGAGCCAATTGTGGTAGAAGTTCATGGATAAGCAGACAGGTGTGTGTTCCCACAGGTTAACTGGCTGGAGGCAAGAGCTTTCTGCAAGGCCATCGGCAGCGACCTTTTTACGCTCTCAAAAGACGGAAAGAATTTCGCTACAATTTTGCAGCACCTTCGACTCTCCCGTAAGTTCAAATTCCCTTTCCTCTAACGAGAATGGACATACGCAGATTCGACTCTGAAATGAGTTGGTGAATATTGTTATTAAATTAAATGAAAAGACCTTTTGGTGCTGATATAATAAAGATGCTCCGTGGTAGTGGTCCACATTTGTACTTGTTTATTTTGTGCTGAAAATTATTCGCGAAAGAAAAGATACCCTGTGAATATTAATTCATTGCCGCTGGGGATTCCATGTCCGTACATGCCATGTCCACTGGTAGTTTAATTTATCAATTGTGTTTGCACAGAGATGGCTCTTCAAGTGCTTAGTCACCAATGAGTCCATTACTAGTCCTACCCATCTCGCCAGTTTACCCAGTTCCATGATTTTTGTGAACATTATTTTTTATATATTGCCATTAGTATTGTTGCTAACGTTTTAATAAATACAACGTCAATACTGATAATAAAATCCTAGATATTAATAGCATATAACCTTTTTTATATTATATTGCCATTAGTATTGTTGCTAACGTTTTAATAATTATAACGTCAATGCTGATAATAAAATCATCGATATTAATAGCATAAAACCTTTTTTATCTTATATTGACATTAGTATTGCCTCTTACGTTTTAATAATTATAACGTCAATGCTGATAATAACACCGTCAATATCAATAGCATGAAAAATATATTTCCAGAAAACTAAAGAAAAGGGAAATCAAGTGGTCTCATAGGCCTACTAAATGACTCCTTGGTGACTAAGTACTTTTGGAACCATGTGTCTGCAAACAAAATTCACAAAAAAGCTAGTGAACATTGCGGTTACCCATTCACACAGGGCAACTCGAGTCACTCCAAAGTTTATTTGATCCTCTTTTACCGCCCGCAGAGGTGACAACCGATTTCTGGGTCGGAGGACGCTTTGTCAACGAGACGGTTGGGTGGTGGTGGGTCAACGATGAACCGATGGTCCTCGGCTCACCCTACTGGGCTGTCAGGTAGGTTTGAGGAACACATGGGTTGTGCGGGTACAGGTCCAGAGCCTTCAGATTGTGATAACATAATCATACCATCCTTTACTTTACTAACGTTTCGCTCTGTTTGCCAGACACTCGGAGAGCTGCCAGACTCGCACCTTCACCTCACCCATCCTCAACCAGACCCTACAGGCCAACGATGGTCAATGCTACAACTACGTGC